CTATATAGGATTAATGTTTCTGATACTTTGTTCAAGGATAATAAAGAGATTGTGATTGAAAGATTAGTATTTCCAAGTTGTATGTACTTGTAAGAAAGAATGTTTTTGGTTTCTTGATTAAATTTTTATTAATATGGATCATATTCCAAGAAGTATACTTGGAATAGTTCCAGTCTTTCACTAAAACACTCTGGAGGATTTGATTTCTTAGATGAATGTTCTCTATAAAGATCTTCTGAAGTAAATTATGAAGGTTTAAAAATTCATCCAGTAGTTAAAAGATTTATTCTTGAGGACCGAGACTTAAATGAAAAGACTCTTTTTGCTATAATCTTCTGAAAATTTTATTTGAAAGATAGATATGGTTAAAGAATCTGATCTGGTGATGTTTGTAATGGGAATTAACCATCTGGAGGGATAATCTTTGAGTGGGGGATTGTTGAAGTTCTGGAAGGTTCTGTAAGGATGATTTCTTTGTTTGGTCTTGATAGATTATTGACATGTAGCGTCTTGTTCTATTTATCAAAATAACAAATAATATCTAATAAAAGGTTATGATTGAGATTCATTGTTGTTGCATTGCTATTTGATTTATTCTCTAGTATTGTAATTGGATTTTGTTTGGATATTAGTACTTGTTACATGTTTGACACATGGTTGTTTAGATTTTGTAAATTAATATTTTTTATTAATATATATATTAAAATTTATATTTTAACAAGTTTAATTTTTGTAACTTATAAATAAACTCTCTTCTAATTGTATTTACTTTGTTAAAAATTTTTTTTTTATAATAATTTTTGTCAAAAAAAAATGGTTTACACTCTTTATTGCAAGTGAGCTCCAGCTCAAAAACTCAAAAACTTTTAAGACAACTGATGCAGTGAAATGAAACCTCTAGTTGAAGTCTATTCAAGTTTGAAAGTCTTGTCTATTTTTTGGTTTTATAAGAAAAGGTCTGTGGCAGTTCTTTTTTCTTTTGTTTTCTTGTATTCCTTCTTTTATTTATTATAACATAAAACTATTTATATTAATACTATTATATATGCTAAATCAAATACTTTTCAAAAAATACATTCAAAGTTATTGGGTCTATTGTTTGTTTTAATACAATCTTTATATACAACTCTATTATAACAATACTTACTGTACCATTTTAAAATTTTCAAAACTTTTTGTCCAAAAAACAGAAATTAGTTTATCTTCTCTAGATAATTATTACTCTTCAATTATTTAATCAGAATTTATTAAAATAATAAAACAAAAACTAAACTAGTTTAAATCAATTTTTCAGTATAATAACAATAATAACAACTATTATAATAATAAATAATATCAATTATACTTTGCTATTTATATTAACAAGAAGTATAATATATCTCTAAGTCCAATACTAGTACAAAAATCAGACTATTGGTTCCCTTTCAGATATTTTTTTTGTTTATATAGATTTTATAGTTTGATTAACATAATTTTAATACAAGTAATTTATGTAATTATAGTTTTAATTATATATTTTTTTTCTTTTTTACTTTTTATTTTATTTTACATCTTATCAAATTTTCTAAATAAACATAACCACTATCATTAGCTATATTTAGCATATAGTATTGTTTTAAAATTTATTTTTATATATTAGCAATATCTCTTATTTGTAAATACAGTGAGTTTAATGCTAGCTTGCCTACAAAAATCAAATAACTAATATTAAAAATAAATTTTAAAATAATATATCTTGTCAAAAGGTACCAAGCGGCTATGTTTACCTACTCAGTATTAGAGGAAATAAGATTGATATATTTTTGAATTAGTTTAATAATATATTTGAAAAGGTTGAATATAAGTGTCTGCTACTAAAGTAGATAGGTCAACTATTGTTGTTGAATCTTGTATTGATGAAAATTTTTGTGAGCTTGATTTGAGAGTTGTTATATTGTTTTTAATTGTAGATTTGCCTTTCCATTTTATATCATTTTGTGAAGAAGTGTTGGCTGTAGCACATTGTGGTTTCCATATAGTATTATATAGTTGTATTAGGACTTCAGTTGATGTTTGTATCTAGTTGTTAAAGTCCACTAAAAAAAAATATTGTCAGTAATGCCACATGCTAGCTTTACGATCTGCCATATATGAATTATCAGTTCTGAGTTTCTATTGAAGTGGAGGATAAGATTGGTTTGTTTGATAATCTGATTGGTTTCTTCTGAAGCTGTTAGATATTTGAATACATGCTGTATGTTTTCAGTACAGAGCTCACATCATAGGCAATAGGAGTCTGGATATAGTTTGAATATTGTTGATAAAGATTCTCTTGAGTAAAAAGAGTTCCTAATAAAAGCTTGATGCAAAAGGTAATTAGGTTACTATATTTATTATTTCTTGCATTTTTCAAGATTTTGTTGGATTTGTTAATTATTTTATGTCTTGAGAATTGTAAATAGAGTTAAATGTTTTTAGAATTGATAAGCTTTCTGCTATTATATATGTTTTAATAATACTGAGGATCTTTTTGCACCATATGACACTATTACTCAGCTGAAAATTGTTGATTGGAGAATTTTCTGAAAAGTATAATATTGGATTGTTTTAGTTTATAGTATTGTTAACTCTTGGATTTGATTTGGGGCTGGAATAAGTAAGAAGAATTATTTTCTTAAGTATTATTTTGTTAATTTTCTGAATAATTGAAGAGAAATTGATTTTTGCCATTTTTCTGAGATAGTTGAAGGTCTTCTGATATAAGAAATATTATTTTTTTTATTATAATATATATATTTTAAATATATAAACCAAATAAAGAAATTATATTTATTTATCAAAAAAAAATTTTTTTTGTAACTTTTAAATTATTAAATATTTGGTGATTTTATAGTTTAAATAATTTATTAATTATAAATATTTATTGAATTTATACAAAAAAAATTATTTGGAAATTGTTATAACTAAAGATTTAAAAATTTTATTATATAAAATATGAAAAAAAATTAAAAAAATATAATTTACAATATAAAACGTAGGCTTTAAATTTACTATAATTAAAAATTAAAACTAATTAATCTAAATATAACAAAAATATAAACAAGATATATAATTTTTATATGTTTTATTTTATATAACAACAAATTTAATAACACTATTAAATATAATGAAAAAAACAAGATAATAAGTTATCTATTTTATTAAAAGTATTATAAAATTATTTTTTTTTCTTGTATTAATATTAAAAGTCTTATTCTAATTTAGTAAAAAAAATTTTCTATTAATAATTATTGTAAAAAGATATTAAACAATAATATAAGACTTATATTAAGATATCTTTATGATATAAGATTTGTTTTAAGTAGTAAATTCTAATAAGCCTTGTTATAAATATAGTTTGTCTAAAAAGTCTTTAAACAAATATTTTTTATAATAAATAAATATTTATTTATTTATTAATTATAAAATTTTAAAGATATATTTTTTAGAATATAAAAAACAAAATAATAAGTTTTTTTAATACTTATTAATAAATTTATCTTAAAATTTGATTTTAAAACTAAAAAAAAATAGGTTAAAAATCTTTTATAAGTTTTAATATATAAATTTATATATAAATTATAGATAGAAAAATAATTTAAAAAATCAATAAAAATTATAAAAAGTTTTTTATAATGTACAAATTAATTTTATAAAAAGAATTTTTAAAAAATTTTATATTTTATATTAGATTTTGATAAATTTTTTAATTAAAAAAATCAAACAAGCAATTTAAAATTTAATAAAATTATTTTTTAATTAATCTTGTTTTTCAAATTATTATAAATAATTTATTTATAACTTAATTAAATTAACATATATTTTAAAAAATTTTATTTTGATATAACAATAAATTTCAATAAATTTCAATAATATATAAACAAAAACCTATCAAGTAAATTTTTTTTTTTATATTCTTATTAATAAATAATTAAAGTTTTATTTAATTTCATTCATTATTTATTAAATCATGAATAAAAATATAAATTGAAAATTTGTTTACAAATTTTTCAAGTTCCAATTGAATTCCAATTGGATAATAATATTATATACTTTATAACATGATTTTTTTTTATTTTTTCATATTCTATAAACTATTTAATATATTTATATAAGAGCCTTGATAATTATTTGCAAAAATAAAATAAATAAAACAACAACAACAATAATAATAATTCCAGTTAAAAAAACATGAATTGAAATCATAAAAATCCTGACAATTAGCTTTTCAAATAAGCTTTCATTGGAATATTGGTTTCGTGATTAATTCCATTGACAAATTTTAAAATTTGATGATTTCTTTTTTTTAAAAAATAAATTTATACGTTTATTGGAGTGCTTTTCTTCAAATGTTTGATAGTTAAAATTCTTTTTATTATCATTGAGAAGCCTATTATTAATAGAAATCAACATTTTTAATAGTAATCTTTGTTACACATTACAAAGATATAGGGTATACAGTATATTACACCATGACGCTTACCCTATTATTGTAATAATGTCTTTCCTTATAACATTTACCAATGATTTCGTTAACGTTTCGACCATTGCTGAATTTTAATTGTAAAGATTTATCATTAAATAATAACTATTGTTGGAGAACTATTTTCTTTCTAAAAATTAAATTAAAAGTAACATGCGTGTGAGATAAAAATTTCGTTTTTGTTTATACTGTAGTACTGTATTATTTATTATCTATCATATCTAGGATAGGAAAAATTATTTAGTTATAAAATATTATTATTTAATAAAATAACATATCTAAGAGATAAGAATGAATGAACGAACGAATGAATGAATAGAATAACATTGTTGTAATAACCAATCGGTATAATTTATAATTGATATTTTCCAGAACTTTAATGTGCGCATGAATTGGCGACCCTCATTCATATTTACAAGATTACGTGGCAGTGCCGGTAACGAGGAGAATGTATGCATGATATGATGTTTTTCCTTCACCGACAGAAAAGGTAATTAGTTCACAGTTGTCGTTTTCGTGCAAACATTCTGTATGTCATGGTGTAGGTTTTAAACTCTTCGACCTCGCTGATTATCTTATTCGACATTTTGTCAAATTGATCCAGCTTCATTCCATATTCGAGATGCACTTTAAATTTGAGCGAGTTAAGTAATTTGTTCGCTGCATTTTTTTACAAGGGAGAGGTGCAGAGGGCAAAAAGAAAGATAATGAATGAGGCAAGGTCAAGCGAAAGGGTTATGCTTATTGTCAAACAAAGATATTTAAAGGTTTCTACCTAAGTGTATATCAGTTTTATGGACAGAAGAATGAGTAGGATGCCATGGAATCAACTTGTCTATGACAATTAATGAACCGAGTTCTGGTTGAGCAGATTGGATGATTTCTTGAAGCGATTCGATTTTGAGGTCATAAAAGTCGTTGGTGCTAAAGTTGTTGCTCGCGAGACCTGTACAATTAGGACACGTAGCGTTAAAGATTCAATGTGATCATTCATCGTCTTTCGCTCTGTCAAAGATTACCGTATGGAGATTCAACTATCTGCATGAATCTTCGCGTTTCCGGACCGGTATTATAAACGTTTTCATCAACATCCATGAACTACGCCATGATAGTCATGCGGAAGTTAGCATGCAATAACGAGGCACACGTAAAGACGAAGAATTATGAACGCGCACCTCAATCCATCCGCCCGGCTTGACGACCCTCATGATATTTGGTATGATTATGGTTTTCCATTCGTTTTCACTAAAGCAATGTTTCACAAATCGAATGTTAACAAAATCGAATGTCTCGTCGTCATACGGAAAACCCTCCAACAGATCGTATTGTTGGAGTGTTACGTTGTGCGGAAGAGCTGTCAGCGAGTACTTGGAGGCGCAGTCCACACTATAGAAGTGCGATTTCGGATATTCGGAAGAAAGTTCCAACAGAAAATCTTTTGAGCCGCAACTATATCAAGAAATTGGGGGTTAACTTTATGCGGGACGAGAAAGAGATCTTTTTTAGAAGGAAATAAATACCCTATGTCCAAAACTTTCGAATCACCAGCCTTTAAAATGTCGTGAACGGGACTCGAAAAACCACGCACCCATGTGAATCGAAAATAATAATTCAGAAGCCGAGTACGTTCGATGTCATCAACATCATCAAAGATTCCTCTCAAATCACTTTCCGCCCTTCCTGCGTGAGCCCTGCCGTTATATTTTGGCCATTTATTTCGTTTTTTATTATTCCCGAACCTCATCATGAGTGATGTGGGTAGGTTTTTTCGTTCTCCCGCGAGCTTCATGCTCAGAAGTTTTGATTAATTTTGCGAGGATGTATTGTGAAACTAAAATGTTTAGTTTGTTTGTAGTAATTTTTCGAGAGTCAATTAATTGTTTCGACAGGAAGGAAACCACCTTTTTATACCAATCTTGTTTATCATATTGTCACCGTGACTTCAGAAAAGAAGTCGTAGATAAGTGGAGATAACCCGAAAATTCCAATTTAACTAGTTATATCCATGGATCAGTGAATTCCTTCTTTTATATAACAATGGATCCAAATTTTGAACTTGCATTCAACAGTCACAAGCTCTAACAAGCCGAATTACTTTCTCTATTGGGAAGAATTTTACCATTTTTGTGGGTTCGGTAGACCCACAGTAATACGTGTGTATGCGGTAAGACCACGGCACCACCATCGTTTATTTTAAAATCAAGACTTTTGGCGAATATTTGTGTCACGATTTTTAGTTATCACACACCACATATTCAATGGTCCGGATAAATTTTCGGAAAGCACTTCAAAGAATACGGTACATTAATGGAATAATTATTTCCCATCGATGAGTGATTAAATAAGGTACCAATGATATACAAATGAAAGGCATCACTTACGAGCGATCCAAATCGAAGAAAGTCAACAATACCAGACAGATAGACTTTATTTGGGTAGATTTCATACGATCATCGCGTGAAGTTGTTTACTGTACGCCCAAATTCCACAAAACATGATACGTGTCAAAGAGTGAAATCTTATTCTCGTGTAGCTATTCCAAAAAATAAACTGTACAATTCGTGTGAATCTGATTATATCTGATTACGTACTTCATCGGAAAATCTTTGTTTGTGTTTATGCCTATTGTTCTACGGTAAAATCCTTTTAAGTAATGAGTTGCAGCGAAGAGTAACTTTGTACATTGTTACCCACAAATTTTAAGAAAGACCTTTAACACGTCGCCAAGCAACAATTGATAGGAGCATGAATGACATGAAATGAATGAAATTCAAATCAAGATAAATTTTATTCGCATTAGCTCAATGTTCTTTTGACAGTTGACTGCATGAATTCGTTCGTGTTTCTAGTAATTTCTTTAATGAAAAGGATGACCCCATGACGAATGGTTTCTTGCATTATAACATTGTCCTGGTATAGATCGATTAAAATGGTAAGTGTGCATCGCAAACGATGTAGGACGAAAGAAAATCACTTATTATTTATGTTACGCAAAAGTTATGCAAGTTTAAATTTAAATAATTATTGTATTTTGACATACAGTATAATAAAGAATTGCATCATCGCATTATACCATTACCATTATTATAATAATGTTAGAAAAAAGAAATCCAGTATATTGATAAGACACTTGTATGCTATTCGTGAAACATTTTTTCGTTTTTGAAACTTCTAATTCGATATAATCTTTGATGATTCAGTTTAACGCGCATATCAACACCATCATTTTGCAATCTATTCTTCCCACATCACTCACCCGAGTATATTCTTTGAGTGTTATACACATTCGAATGAGTTTAAACCACCAATAAAATAAACATCTTTGTTTTATCCGTCTGATTTTTTGGTATAAGGAAAAATTATTTTCCCTTATAAAAACATAATGTAATACACAATCAAGTCGGCTATTACTTTTTCCGAATGCAATAATGCGCTAATACAATTATGTTGTAAAAATTTGTCAACGACTGGTGCCTGAATAAGATCTCTTCATAATTCCTCATTGATCAAAGCGAAATCGTTATCGGCATGAACCTGGAATCAATGTAAACCCAGATGAATTCAAAGCCTTCGACAAAGAAAGAACAAAAAAATTTTTCATTTGCCCACCATTGCTTTCTTGAACTCTCTTAAATTCCAAACCATTTTACGCCTTAATCCATCATTTCTTATGCCTATCGCTTTCAGATCCCATGCATTCATCTCCACAATGTCCTGCCATTTTTTTCCGTGAAAGAATGGTTCAAAACTTGCGTACGCATAGTCGACTGAGTTGAGAAAGTATTTTAAATCTATAATTTGAAAATTTCGAATAACGTTAGATTGGCTAGATCCAAGGAAGGAAAAGAAAGCAAGAAGAAAGAAGGGATTTGATCCTTCAATGTAAAGATCTTTGTGAACTCCCCGATCTCGGGTCAATGATGCAACGTACCGCTTAGCAAATAAGGGTCGACCGCAAGATCATGCCCAGCCCGAGTGAAATCATTTATACGTTTACGTATTTCGGAAGGACCAAGATTACCTCCCTTATCTTTAGCCTATCGTCCGTTCGAAACATAATTTAAAAAAACATTTTCTTCCTCTTCTTAAAATAATACAAACGGATTTTCTCACCATCATATTCTTAACCTTCCAAAAATGTTTGACCAACAAGGTTCTGACTTTTGAATTTCGGATTCCCAACAAATACAGATCCATCATGCTTAGCTTGATGATTTCTTCCCACCTCATGCCTTCGAAATAAGGTGTCAAAATTTTCAGGCCTATTCCGTCGAGCCATTCTGGAAAATCTGGTCATGCACGATGTTTCTTAATAGGAAAAGATTGTTACTGCATTTTTAGATAAAAACCAATCAGATGAGCAAAATACCTTCTAATAATTCGTAATTAATCTTATCTATATAATTACTCCGATAAAATCGCATATGCTTCTCATAAAGTTCACTCCTTTGAAGTTTTTCTTGTTCATTGATGTCGTTTGTCGCGGTAAATCGACGCTTAAAGTGAACCGCATTGGGTTTAGATAGACGAGAGAGGGCACGAAAGATTTGAGAAGTGATAAGCATAGTTAATACAAGAATCGATTAATATTGATGCATTAATGTGAATAGGTGAAACATGTTTTTGGATCCTTTTTTTTTTTTGACCTGATCATAATTTTTCCGAGGTCCAATGATTTTACCCGCATCACGTTTTACCTTTTTATGGAAGTAACACCTTATTGGTTAGGCAGGCACACTGTATAACAAATAATATGTAATGATGTAATGCACACCATACATTATCCGATTTTTTTAATTTAACCAATTAGAATAATTATACAGTACAATAAATTGACGATAATAATAACCGTTATGCAAGGAAAAGCTTCAAAAAAAAGTTCTCACGGTTTTTTATTTTTTGGAATTTACCCATTTTCCGCGATCGACTCCCGATTTGGTTGACAGCAACCAAGGTAATATATAGGATAGTGTCAAAGTACAGTAAAGTAACTCAATGGTACAAGAGTCGATTCTTAAATTACCAAAATCTTAAAGGATCGGTGTATGTTTGCGAATACCACACGATTCTTGGTTGCTATTTTATTATGATCTTGTAGTTTACATTTGCGCGTTTAAAATTATACAGAGACGCAAAATAAAATTTTGTAATATACAAAAAGAAAGAAAATACTACATATCATGAGTATACAGATTTTTTTTTTTATCAGAAATCTTTTTCTTTTACCAGACTAAATTGTGTGTGTGTGTGTGTAGAATTTATGTTAATGACCATTTTAAAGCAGAAAGACGTTGTAAAAAGCAGTTTGATTATAACAGAAAGAAAAAACTTTCCACGTGTGTGTGTGTGTGTGTGTGTTTTCTTTACTAAATCTTAGAAAGTTTGATCTCTCTGCTAACCAATCGCGAACGTCTTTGGTTAAAATAAAACGAAAAGATACGCCTTCTAGGTAAATGTGCAGCATGTATTTATGCTTTCTTTGCAAAATGAATTGGAGATTTTAATTTCATTAATGTTAGAAATATCATTGGTATTGTAATCATTAATGCGTTTGTTTTTTTAGTTTTTTTTGTTTGTTTTTTTTGAGAGATTAATAAAATCTTTGGGAATGAATATATGATATTTATATCTCCGCGCGATTTTTGATGAAAATAAAAGGAAAGGGTTTTTTTTTTAGATTTTTTTTTTTTTTAAGTTGGTTGATATGTATATGTTAGATGAGAAATGAAAAATAAAACGTATATGTCGAAACGAAAATATTTTTTATAGTACAAATCCAAAATCCTCCCACCCAGTTGTTTGAGTTGACATTCAGGCATCCAGCTTTTGACAAAAGAACCGAAAATGTCTGAAACTTGCTTTGTTTTCGTTGCATTCTTTAGCGAATTCCGTCACCATTTCATCGTACTCTTCCGATTTCTTCCCTAAAGTTTCCGTCAGAACTCCTCGCAGGGCGTACAACGTGTCGCAGAAATCCTGACATGCTAATTCGCCGACTCCTCCGGCCCAACTACCAATAGGACCTGACCTTTCCTCGTGCGAGAGGTTATGCAGTTGCGGTGATGCGGATAGCCACGACCAAAGTCGAGAACAGATTCTCGGATTTATGGATTTCGAGAGGAGCGTGGATCGGACTACAAAAATGATCATTTTTTTATCAGCTACAATGGATCGTGGAGTGTCATCTCCCGGTCAAAATGAAAAAAAAAACATACTAGCATCCATCAAGATTTTTCCCTTGGGACCTTCGGGGTAGAACATCATGTCGCCTTCCATTATTTCCAACCAGCCTCCTGGTTTAAGTACTCTGGTCAATTCTTTAATCACCTCGTTACTCCACTCCTCTTCCGTAAAGGCCGTCATAAGAAATCGCATGTGCACGAAATCGAAAGAGTTATCTAGAATTTTTATGAAATAATTTTAATGGGAAAATCAAGAAGCGAGAAAGACTGAATTTAAAGTAGAAGCTTACCGGGGAATGGTAATCCTTTCAGTACGTTGGCAATGTGGAAGGTCAAGTTGTGAGGCTTTATGTCTTTCGGGAATATCGGGGACAAGTCGACACCAGTAAATAAAGAGCGCGGATAATTCGTAGACATGTCCAGTAACCATGTGCCAGGACCACAACCAACATCCAGAACCTTGGCTTCTCCCTGGTCAATAAAATCTTCTATGGGTGATGAGAAATTTCCCTGCCAGATGTCTCGGAACAAAAAATGTTGCAATTGCAATCTATCAACTATTGAGAACTTTGGTTAAGAAAGGCACCATCGGGGTAACAAAGATTAAAGAGTAATTGTTGAATGTTGAATGAATGAATGAATACCTTCTTCGTCGTCATTGGGCAAAAAGTATTTTGAATTCTCGTCGTTATGAAATCTTCTTCCGTCCATGTACCGAAAGAGTTCCTTGGAGGGTTTTATCGACTTTAGAATTTTTTTATTATTGACAAGGTTGTTGTTATCTAAAAGTCGACGATTATTTTTTGAAGGAATGTGTCCCATTGTTTCTACTTTACGTGAGAGATCTCGGAATCTGAGTTGGGATTTGCGTGTTATTTATCTTCGAATCCAGGATTCCAATGCCGAGGAAATCAAATCTCGCTCAAAGTCAAGAAATCAATCGCTTACCAATACTCGGTGCTTTTGTCTAACGGTAGCGTTCTATATAAAAGAAAAGGGGGCAATATATGCGGCAGGAAATGAATGATGTTTCCTTTATCCAAATACTGATCCAGGCTCAAGTCGCCTTCGTTTATTGTAACAATTATTATTATTCGATGAAATACTAGTCTAGGAGATAAGATAATTATAAAAATACAAGTTATAAGAAAATAATGAAAAAAGAGCTTTGAAAAAAATGAAAAAGAAAAAGGATGACAATGTATATTAATGAACAATAGGAATATGCTAGGAAAGAGGAGAAATAATAATAATCATATACAATCGGCGAAGAGCCATTTTGCGGGAAACAAAAAATTGCAATCGTCCTTCGAAACGCATCTTATATCGATTTTCTGTTTACCTAACCTTATATTACGATCATTCATGCGAGCACTATCCAAGTAATTTATACAATTGCCGCACTAATTTATACATTACATTTGATATCCAAACTTACATATTTCTCATTATACTCTTTAAATATATATTCCTTTGTTGCTCATTCATTTACAGTATTTTTATTGTGCTATGAGTTTGGTATTTGACTACTTCACCTGGATGTATCATTAATATATGTGCATTAAATAATCAAACATATATGTACATGTATGCTTTCAACCTTCCATTACCGTATGTTTCTACTCTAAGGGAATTAGGTACACATTATACTGGACCATTGATTTATGACGGGTAACATTTGATCGAGGAATATATCACGATCTAATAACAACTGTAAATTTTAGCTCCCATCCTATCTTGCGTATATGCGCACAACGCATCGAACATTGACCGAATCCTCCGAGAGTGTTGTTTATCATAAAAGATTTAAACAATCAATTTGTAAGCAAATACATGGGGATGATGTAATTGTTCTCATGTACTATATTTACCCGAATATCAGATAATTCATCCCAATCGAAGGATGTAACGGTTATTTGGTACCCATGAATTTTGGAACGAACGAACGCGTACAGCAAACGTAAATCAATAAAGCCCTGTTTACCACTTTTGAATAATTGGCTATATGCATTGTCCAGTTTGGAAGTCAACAAATTTGATGGCACAACGCGATTAGGTTATCTCTCCTCACGAATTCTTAATCTTGAAACATCTTCCCGCGGAATAACTCTCCTATGTGGCTTCGATACATCAAGAATTCCTTTTTTTCAAAGCGTTGTTTGTTTGAAAACCTCACCTGTTCTCCCCCACAAATATTCCTATTAAATATAGAAAAGATGGCGTAGAGTTGTTGTCATACGTTATTGAGAATCGTCCCGTATACGTTTGACTCAAATTCGAGAACTAAGAACCACTTTCGAAAGCGTGACGCTAGGCACCTATTTGTCTCTTTGAACTGTCAAATCCTACTTGCAGGTTTGTTCCTGTTAAGTGCACCTTCTTTTGTTGTTCTTTGTTCCTACCCTTCCTTGGCTTCTTGATGCGTATCAATATTCCATCAAACTTTTGATGTGCACAAAAAATGTTTATTCGGAAAATGCAAGATATTTGTGACACCTTCCATTGGTTAACATATCTTATCATTAAAATCGAAAATATGGTGTATTTCAAGAGATATTATCTTTTCTTTGCGAGAGGTGAGCGAACAAAGACATGGTTACTTGGTGAACCCTGATAAGGATCTGATCTGATGTAGGATTGTGGAATGAATGCTAGGAAACACGCCAGTCCCATGAAAAAGTTCTTTATTTTCTTCCAAAACGTCTTCCAGGATGATCGCCCATTCTTTCGATGGTACCGAACGTCTCATATTCTCGATTCTGACGATAACTTGGTGTGATGTATAGATTGTGTTATCCACAAATTCGATGAACTTAGGTTGCAGGTTAGGACCCTGAACGTGCCTATATGCACAAAATTCATGTATCGAGATAATCTTCCTATAATAAAATGATTTCATACGTCACTGGACATATGCATTTATCCAACCTTCTCTGCATACTAGAGATTATGAAAAATCCCAGATATAATGTAGACACTACCGTGAATGCGCTTCCCAATTCAGATGCGTGCATGTACGTAAGTGCATACGTGTAAATTGTTTGCATTGAATTCAATTATGACACCACCTTAATATTGTATTTTTTCTAGCTGCTGATTGTGGGTTGATCTTCGTCCACTGAAGACAAGTTAACAATAACAAAATGTGATATATTGTCATTATTGTCATTCGACATACAATAGCAGAGAACTCATTTTGAATCGTTCCTGGCAAGAACGACTCGTCGATAAATTCAACCTCTAGCAACAGGTTAACTAATCGTTCGTTCGTTTTCTACCGTATCGAGGTAACAACATCTCGTTGAAGACAAATAGGAAACACATTCCTACCAATCTAATATATGATTGTCCCATTGGCGGGAAAATCATAGGATTTAATGTTGCCTTTTCATAGTAGTCCTGCGAGACAAATAAAATACGAACATACACAATATTTACAGTACATACTCGTAATACCGTTATACAATATAATTTCCGAAACATCGTATGTAGGGGTTGCTTTAAACATATTCATTCCTATTTACTTCATCGCAATAGAAATGTCCAAAGGCTCAATGGCATAGAGAAGGTAACCGATTTGTACGTTCGAGAAAAACATTATGCCACATCTCAATAGTCAATGATCTTTAATACCGCCCGATTGATTTTCTGGCGGTGAAAACAAGAAATAAAAATTACGCGATTGCTGTCAGTATAGACCACTTTAATTACTGTATCAAGAAATTTGTGTAATCAGCCATGCATCGTATGTCATGACAAATTAAGATCAGCCCGGATTTATCAATCAATTACAGTAAGCCATATCATCTTTTAAAGTAAAAAAATTCCCGTATTCCGAACACACCTTCATATAACGTGCCGTAAATGTGGCTCACAAATATTTGTTACGACATGAGGAATAAACTGATGTGAATATGGTATGATTAATTTTTATCATATCGAAATCTTGATTTTCGAGTACAGTACTGTATTGTATATAGTAGATGAAAAATCAAAAAGTAAATAAAAGATTTTAACCGATGCTTTATAATATTTATTGATTATTACCTTCATTGACCATACTACTGAGAAATTAAAATAAAATAATGTTTGATTGCGCTCATAATTTATAATTCTTTCAAGAATTCGTCACCTTTGAAAACAATTTGTTATTTCTGATGATAGCATCATAAAAGAAAGAACAATTAAAAAAATTACTATATACCGTGTATAGTATCATTCCAATCATATTTCACATCACGGCAATTAATCTTATTGGTTTTTTTTTTAATATTACTATATATATCTAACAAATAAAAAAAAATGTGATAAAGACATAAATAGGCCTTTTCTAACAAAGATTAACAACCCAATCATACCCTGTATATACGGTATTGTAAAGGATGGTCATTTTGCTTTTCTGGAGAATAACATAGTTATAGATTCCTCATAATTATAATAATTACATTATTTGACCTTTATTCCTTTCCTAAATCCTTAATAAATTATTATTTATCTTTATTATTAATTTAATTAATCTTTATTAATAAATTTCTTATATTTTTATAAATTAATTAGCATAAATATTTTGGCAGGTTTGTATATACAGTATATGATCATATAAGAAGGACAGTTCTCGCAATGCTAATTGCCATTGAGTTGCTAAGCAGCAATATATTGTAATTGACACAGGGAAAATGGTCAAATGATATTCTAATTATTTATAAAATTTAATAAAAGATTTATCTATTAAAGGAATTCTTAAAAAGTCTTAATCCTTGGACACAAAGTCTTTTGATAAAGGATTATATATCAAACCTTACATCTTCCTCTCAAACTTTTCTGTATTATTAAATTTGATTTTAATAATTATATCATAACATTTGACAATAACTTATATCATAACAATATATTTCTATTTATATATTTTTATAGATTAGTTATATAATAAAGAATAGTTATTTAAAGGAAATCTTTTTATTTTTATAACAATACAAGTTATATTTTTGTCTTTGAATTAATAAAATAATTATCACTTCTAAATTATTTTTGACTTAAATATAACTCATTGTTTAAATTGTTATAATATATTTAAATTCTTATAATTAAATTATAATAAAAAATATAATTCTAATTATTTTTGTTTTATATTATATATAATAAAATAATAATTACAATAATAATATAATTAATTTTTATATATATAAAAAAAAAAAAACTCTTTTTCAGACGCATCAAATTTTTTGAAAATTTTCTTTTTTAGTAATCTTTAAAAATTTTGAGAAAAGGCAAACAAAATGTCCTTGGGGGCTTCTCCCTCAAGGCAAAACCTTCAGATCCAGCACATGCCCTCTTGAACATTGTTCTAATCAATCCAAGCAAACTCCTGTTTGCTGTGGTCTACATGGAAATCACTTCACGAACTATCCTTGTTTCTTTACCAAGAAAAAACATTTCAATCCCTTCACTTATCAAGTGCCCCAAATACTGGATAGTACCGGTACAAGAAAACTCCTTACAACAGCAGGATGACATTCCAACCATATATATTGAATTCAACATCTCAAAAACCACCAGAGCCACTCACCAAACATTTACCATAGCAATGGCTAGCAAGCCCAAAAAAAAATTTAGCTGCCACCTGGAGGAATTCTTTGTCTACCAAGATAACAAAAAGCTGGGACAAACCAATAGGAAGCAAATAGCGCAAAAAGTCATCAACAGCAATCTCAACTACAACTGGCACCTATCTTGAAATCAAATCAACATTATCAGCAAGGAGAACAACACATATCAATTGAAAAGAGTAAAGGAAGCAATCACCCACCCTCCACCAAATACTCCAGTACAGGAGGATAACTTTCTTACAATGCTAGACAACTCTGGAAATTCTAATTCTCATACAACCGAAATCCCCCAACTCAAAAAACTACAAACAGTTTATCTCCATCAAATGATCAACAAGGTATTACAGTCACATCAGGCATGCAGCCCACACATGCCAGGGACCAGAACAGCAATGTACCTACACATGATCAATGAGACACAGGTGACATGATGCAAGTCGATGATTTTCAACCTGCAGTTACCCCTGACGCCAATCAGGATAAATCAGGC